GAATTTCTTTGTACAAATAAACCTACATCATTTTTGTGATAATGCTGTATATTCATGAATTCTTAAATTTTTTACTAAAAAACATATTAGGCAATAAGCATATAATAGATCAACTTTTAAGCAGTGGTGTAGCCAAGGAGGATTGAAAGATCTACAACCCCCTTAAAATCTAAAATGAAACTTCGGTATTTACATGTTAAACTTATGGAAGAATCTAGGTAAACCATTGTTGTGTAAAAATTGATCGCCTCCTCCTTTGAAAAAAAAATCCTGGCTTTGCCACTGCTCTTAATCATATGCTTATAACAAGCTTATACGCAATGCACTATGTAGAAAGATTTGATATCAAATAGAAAAATAGAAAAATTATTAATACATGAAAATACTTGGTGTGCATCAATAATTTTGATCAAGATAAGGGAAAGTAAGTACTTATATGCAAGGCCGTACCCAGAAAATCTTACTCATTAATAACTTATACTTTTATTCATCACTTACATTTATATTTAAATACGGTCTAATGTCATAAATGAAATCTTCTTTGGTTTTATTTTCCGATATGTTTACTTAAGCTTTTTAAACACATAATGTAATTATTAATTTTGTCTTTTAGTCATTTTTTGTTTAATAATACAAGTTATATGAATGAATTATATAAGTATATACACGAAATACGATACAACTATACAAAAACATGTAGCACACACTTCTCATCACATGACATACCAAATATAATGATGCATTATCCACTATCATTATTATAATCTATACAATAATTAGTCATCAGATTAGATACTTTAGAATTTGGATAATGAAGATTACCAAGATTATTGTTGTTAAAGGCCCTTTAATATGGATCCTTCCTGTATTTCGTTGAAAGATAAATATTGATTTGTAAATTAAATCCATACCGTATTAATATTATATTACAGTTTTCATTATTTTTTTTTTTTTTTAATTATGCTTTGGCAACTAAGTTCATTAACACTATTTGGTGACTGTGTCCCAATACCATACTACACCATGCACTTATAAAACTATAATGAATATTATATCCGTGATTATAACATTATATGATTAATAGAGGGATCTATACCCATCATCCCCTTTCATAACTACACCACTGCCGCCACTAATTACACATAGAACATTAGTTATGATTCTTTCTGGTCATACATAATAATATAGAAACGCTATTTCTCGAACGCGCTCCAAGAATGTTGTTATCAGCTTATTGCCACCGTCTTTGTTTTTGTCTGTTCATCATCATAAATTTAAATAGATTGTGGCGGTTGTGCCGATTATACTGATTTTACTATTGTATATTGTTATTGTTCATTAAACTTATTAATTTGAGATTTATTTAGTTGTATAGGAGAAATAATGCAAATAATTAGCCTTCAATACAGGTTAAGTAGAAACAAATGTAATTAAATTTTTGAATATTTGCTCTCCTCCTTGGGTAAATTTTGGATCCGCTACTGACCCAAATTACATTGTGGATTATTATGTAACACAAAATTATTTTTTGTCCCACATATTTATTGAAAATTTCATAAACACCGAACATTTTTGAATTTACAAGGATTAAAATTATACTGTATATTATATACACGATAAAATTAACTCTCAAATAATTGATACATATAATTTAGAGAACTTTTCCTTAAAAAAATGTGTTTGTCAATATTCAACTATACATTTTAAGTACCATATTAAAAATGATTAAACATTTGAATAAAAATAAATTATCTAAAAATATTAAATGATTATTTAAAATGTTTAGTGTTTTTAAAATTATATCATAGATAACATATATTTTAAATATTCGACTATGTTGTTGTTTTAACTTTATAATACAATATAATAAAATGGTGAATTGATCATAATTTGGAAAATTTTATTTTAAAAGTTTAATTTAATTTTTAAAAAATTAACTTAATTTTGTATAGAAAAGAATTCTTATGCCAATTTGTATATTTAATTATTTTTTATTTAAATTTTTAATATGTTTTGAATGTAAACTATGTAAATTGTTCAACCTAGTGCCTGGCCCGGGCTGTATAGTAGTTTCGCTCATAAATGTATATGTATATGGTATGTTATGCTGATATTCATTTTGGATGTTAATAGAATATTGTTATACATAATATAGGTATTATATGACGTCGTTTTGAATTTTATTGATTGCTACATTTACAATATTATATACACAATTAATAATTATAATAACTTGATGGTTGTATAATCGTCGTATAACAACAAAGAACCCCGCGCGTAGGTACCTACTTTTATTAAAAGTTATAACTCGTCGCGGGTCGTGCACGCATAGTGCATATAATGCTTGTGATATTTTATACACCGTTTTCTCATGGTATGTATTAACCTTATATTATAAGTACAGACTTATCCATCGTCTGTGTATATAACGTATAAATACAAACATACAAATAATAATAATAATATATAATATATTATTATACTTATGCGTTAAAGCCTAAAGGTAACATTACGATACATTGTGGGCATGCATGTATACACATATATTTTACGTTCATAGGTATTATAATAATATAATATCCCATATATAGATATCTACCTGCAGCTACATGTGTAGGAATAATGTCTCGCGTTCTAAAAACATCCTTGTCCCGTCCGTTGCACACACACGCAGACATAGTTATACTGCACTGGGCCAAGTTCATTGCAACGCGGTAAGACATAATATAATAATAATAAGTGTATGTTTAGTACGAATAGTACGTAATATACCTCCTATAGGTACATAATACATCTTATATTCCGCATCCGGTTTGAGAGTTCCATATTGCGCGACAGCGGTGATACATATAACAAAAATGTCGTAGACAACAAAAATAGGTTTGGCATGTACACTGCAGTACATTATATACATAGGTACATAGGTATCTACATATTATTATTAGTTATTACATTATATACAGATTTAAATGTATTGTTATATATTTATATATGTAGGTAAGTATTTATCTATAAAAATAAATATATTACATACGCGGGGATTCCTACACCTCAGCTATGCATTTGCAGTACGCGTATCTTAAATATATAGGTATAAATAATATTATATTCATGTCAGTATCAAGTTTTTTAAACGTAACGCTAAATGTTATAATATTACACAATATGTATACAGATAAATACAATATGGACTATGTATATGTATATGTTTATAGGTATCTATAGTATTATGATATATTGTTATTGTCACGTGTGCTGGTGATAAATAGAATAAACAGATAACAGAAAAACACGCAAAAATATCGCATTTAACTATAGACACATTATAATATTATATTTTTATATATAGCTTATTCGTTGCAACGTGTACCTATTTATAATACGAACGGTGTACCGAATGGGTAAGAAATTTAGGCGCCGAAGACCGGTCCCTCGACCGGAGCTGCTGTCGCCGCCTCCGCCGTTGGAGAAAAAATTTGCCTCTTACAGACGCGCGCGGGTCGACTCGTCGAAAGTGAAACGCGACGCCTGGTGCAGCAGGTTGGGTATATATGTAGATACACTTCGCGTGAAGACTTTGGGTGCCCCGACCGTGGCCGTATAATAATGATACACTCGCGTTTGTACCTCTCCTCCCCCAGTGTGTTGTACGCATTATAATATATATAACACTATTATATAGTGGTCGTCCTTCGTTTATTATCCATTACACACACAGCCTCTCCTCCTTTCCTTTACTAACGTACACACACACACACACACACACACACCGCCGTTTCTGCTGCAACGTGTATCTAATACATATATCGTATATACACCGCGCACGAACACAAATATATATTACTATCTATACATAATATACATTTTTCTGTGTTTTCGTACAAATAGTATATTATGCATTTATATTAATACATATGTCAATCCTACTTATATGTATATACCCAATTGAATACAAGCTGCAGCAGCTATCATACACAAATTATACATATTATATTATATTATATTATATTATATTATATCATTTATAATTATTCAAACAGACTAATGCCCAGTAACAGTTTGAAATGTACGAGTATTGTTAATGTAAAAAAAGTTAATTTAAATAGCAAAAAAAAAAAAGATTAAAATAAAATAATAAATTGCAAATAATTCTTAAATAAAATCTAATAATATATAATTACAAAAAGATTCAATTGAGTTCAAATTAAATAAATCAATTTGGGTAGCATTAACTAATTCTATAATACATTATACTCATTTACAAGAGTATTTAGAGCATATTATTAGTTTTAGGAATTTGTTCACAAAAAGTATTAGCAGACCTAGTATGCAAAATAGCTAGTCTATAGAGCAGAATGCACCAGTGTAAAGTCTTATACTAATGAATCCTAGAATTGATGACGATTGTTTTGGAATGTTTAAATAATGTCTACTATATTATTATGTAAAATATGTGCATTCGCTCACTAAAATATATCATCGAGCCTGTACGTACAATTATATGTAATAATATTGTATCATTTGTATAAATAAAATAAGTGTTTCGTATATCGTTACATGCACTTGCGCCAGACTCGCAGCGTTCGATACCCCCAGACGAAAATCGTTTTTATTATTATTGTCGTCGAAGTTAACGTACGTATATATAAGTACAGAAGGGAGGGCATCGGCTCCGGCACCTCACGTCTTGTGCAGCGGTACAATAAAAATATACCACCTAAATGTCGTACGTTCACGTGGGGACAATATGATCTTATTGCAGCGGTGGTGGCGGCCAGTGCGTCATACCCCCCACCCCCAATAATATTGTATATTACATATACTCTACAATTACATACAAAAAAATACACACACACGCACATACACATACAAACACTTGAACATATACACAGACAAATACACGTATAGAAACTCACACACATACACCTACGCCACTACTGCAAGACAACGAGAGAACGCATTGCATTATTTCGCGGACGCGCGCCGACCGTCAAACCCGCCGCCCGCCCCGCACAAAAGTGTTGCGTATTATAGCCGTATTATAGTTGTGGTGCTGCTGCTGCTGCTCGACGAGATGAACTGCACGTCCTGCTGACGAGTCCTCCGTCACCGTTGTAACACCGCCACAGTCGCACATTATATTCCTGTGGCGACACACTGCACACAGCCATCGCGTGTAATAGGTATATCGCGTATCACGTATATACACTGAAGCACATTACGCTCGACCGTCACGGTATAGACGCATACATTTATCATCGTCGGAATAGTATTATCATATCAACGCACCATCGTCGTGTCAGTACGTCGTCGACCGCGCGCCTATATACATTACACCTGCAGCAGTTGAACGTGCGCGCGCGAGATAACGCCGTATCGTTCGTCTCTGCAGAACTCTGCCGGCCGGACTACGCTGCACACCAGCCAAGTGAGTACAGAACAGTGCACTGCCTATTCTCCTAGATAATTTAAAATTTATCCTTTATAATATTATTAAAATATTTTTTTCCGTGTAGTATTATATTTAGGTACATACCTATATACTATATAGGTACTCGAGTTATTTTTATATTATATAATGTAAGAGCCGTCGATTGCAAGGTTTTCCATACCTAAATACGGAACACACTATAGTTTATATTATGCGTGATGTGGGTGGAGATTTATTTTGAGTACATTTGTATCAAGTGGTGAATTTGGATAATTTATAACGTTTTATACATATACTGTAGTTATATTTGAATATGTTACATATTTCAAGCACACGCCGAATTATTTATCTGTGTAGTTATGGGATAGTTTTTTTTTTCATTCACTTGCCCGCCATTTCCTATATATTGGCGTGCAGCTCGAAGGTATTTAGGTTTTGCTATAACGCACGACAAAACCGCAACGTGCTCCTATACCGCGGTGACTATATACAGTGAAGGTGCGCGTGCGTTTTGCTTTCCCTCTTAGAAAGCGGAAGGTGCAAACTTTTACGTCAATCGTCATCGCCGCTGTCGATTATAACACCGCGTGCAACGTAATAGGTATATTATATTAATGAGGGAAAAAATTATCAAATTTTGTTCTTTGACGTCTTACAGAATTTTGTAACACAACGTTCCCAATAAGTAGTAAACTAAAAACATTGTTTTATTTTCATGTTAGCCTGGAAATAGCAAAACGCGTAGGAGGTAGCCAACATTTAGGTAATACCGCGAGTTTATTATGTTTGTACCTATCTATATAATATAGATATATTATACGCATTACATAATAATGTGTCGCCGGGAGACTTTAACGCTAGCATCCCGTTCGGATTACTTGTACTCGAATCGAAACGGTTATTGCGCGGCGATTACGTTTTCAATAATAATAACATAGTATTATGTATAATATTATAATAATCCGTAATCGTATACGTACCTATATAATATAATAAATGTAAATACTCGTTGTTGTATTTTCCGGTCAAAAAAATCATTCGGTTCCGTATATATTTATATACAAACCTTCGTGATAATGGAAAATTTTCCATAAACAGAAAATATTATGCATTTTGATATTATTCATAAAATCGGAATGTCATTTACGTATATACCTACTTAGTACTTATATATACATTCAGTGACATAACTATATGTTATAAGTGATAGACAACAATTCCGGTTTTATTTTCTTACATTTTTTCTCATAACATAACCACCAGTCAAACACGTGGATTCGTTTTTTTTTAAATTTTTTTTTTTAATTGCGAAACGACCATGACTGCCGCCTGACCGGTAGCCAAAGAAGGTGATGCGCAACTTCTTCTGAATCTTCACGGTGCAGGGAAGCGTTTGATTTTTTTTTCACGTGTTGTAAGCATGATCTAATATATTAATCTTGTTATTTTGACGCTGAACAAAAGTGATGACGGTAATAATTAAATGATAATTCACATTGAAGATACTAAGTGTTATTGACAAAACCGAAATTGTAATGGTAATGCATATTGCGTCATTAAAATAACTAATTAATTTTTATTGTCAAGAGGATGATACAGACCAATATTGTGGTTCTTAATTTTTATATTCATTAGATTAATAATTTTTCTTTATTAGTAATAATAGTAATAAATAAATGAACAACACATTAGGAGAAAATATATCTATCATATATTTATAAATTTATATTCGTTTGTGAATGGTTAGTTATGTAATATTAAAAAAAAAAAAACATTTAGGCTTACTCTGATATATGACATAATTATTACACAAAAAATAACGTTTAATGAAATCTATAATAAGTACCCAACAACCGTAGCCAACGTTTGATTTTAATTTACCTACTTGATTTCTCTAAATCTTAATTAAAAATATATATATATATATATAATAATAGTTATTAATTATTAATAACTATATAATTATACACAATTCTCACACTTAATTGTTGTTATTATAAATAAAATATTTTATTAAGATGAATTAAAAACCTACCTACTGTAAATTGTTACATAAAATTGTTCTGTTGTATGTTACTTACCTACTTACGAGTAGTTATCACTTTCATCATAAATCCATTGCAGTGTATATCAATAGTTTAGTTAACGAATATGCAAATAATAAAGGTTGCGACCCAAATAAATAAGTTTATGGAAAATAATTAATATTACTGTGAAACATTTTAAATTCAATAAATAATGAAGTTATTGTTGACAATTATTATTTTTATAACATAAATATTATTCTGCTACGTACACTAAATGTAGATTTTCACTCAGTTTAATATAATGTTTTTGTCATATTTTTCACGCGTACTTACTATATATTTCTTAATAGAGAGGTAATAGAATGTCTGCAGTAATTATTACTTAAAAATATTTGAACATTATGGAACACACGCTGTACCTACCTATATGTAAAAGAACATAATTTGTATTATAATTTGTATCGTTTTACTTTCACTTTGCATAAATTGAAGTCTAATCGATTGTTAAATTATTGATAAATATCGTATACAAACACATATTTATATATATTATATGTGTATAAAACAATTATTAACTTAAAAATACGATTACTTATAAATATCTACATTCAATAATGTTTAGATTTTTTCATTGAAACTATTTTTATTAAAAGTTATTTAACTAATTGATTATTTATATTAATATACTGACAATATTATTTGATTTAAATACAATCAACTTTCATATGAAATGTATTATTTTTAAGTATTAAAATATACTCATATAAAACGTGTATTAAAAAATACATTGTGTGACTTCGCAATTGTTTGAAAAAAATTACTTGTTCGATTATAAGTATTTCAGTAATATATTATCCTTTCCCAACTCGACTATAACAACAACCGAAGAGTTATACAATAAAGTTTTTAAATAATGATATAACGCTGAACATCTTTATAATTCACAAACACCACGTGTACTTCTAATAGCTTAAGTATACATTAAGTAAACGTAAAAATATAAACATTTGCTGAATCATTGGCATTCGCTATACCTAAACCGGCGTAGGTATGTGACGCCATTATTATAATATTATATTATCGTGAACGATATTTCGAGATATACGTACACACAAACAAACTCTTGGAATGCGATTTAATCCCCAAAATGAACTTTCTAGTCTGAGTTATTTGCATTCGAGCCGATTTTAAACTGTCATTAATCACGTGGTTATAGTCGCGTCTGTAAGCATATATTATTATACATACCGGATGCGAGATCCAAAATCTACCACTGTCTGTCGGACGATGTCCACAAAGCCCAGCAGCAACTCGGTAGAGAAATCCACAGGGGTCAAATCTTTAATATCGTACCTATAAATAGCAATAGTGTACAATGTATATTATTGTTATACAATATATGTAGGAATACACGTTTCGTACGCGGAGGTGCCGAGAAAAATATATGCTCCCACGATTGAAAAATGTACGTACTGCGTCATCTGCACTCTGCAGCGGTAGGTACCTCCCTATACCGTGGTTCACCAAAAGCACAATTATGTTTAATAAAATAAACAATGTGAATAATAAACCCACGTTTTGTGTGTGAATTCAAGGCCCATTTTCCATTCGATTTGAAAATTTAGAACAACAATGACAGTTATTATATTGTTGATGTATTATATGACACCACGTGCTGTTGCGGTTGACGCCTTCTCTGCTAAGGAGCATATAGGTACGATATTTATTTCGTCCGGAGAACAAAATAATTTATGCTTAAGTTTCAGAGCGGCTAAGTGCATTGTACATTTTTCCTAGTGAATATGATGTTTACATATAATTAATTATTTGGTTAGTATATTGTAAACTGCTTATAAAATACAAACGGAATCTCTATGTGATCTACGAAAGTAAAATTAGTTTTTTTTTTTGATTTATGATTCTGCAGAACTTGATGACTTGATAGTTTTTGTTCGTAGAATACATTAGAATACACTTGAAAAATTCTGATTTATGGTGTGAATAAAATATATCAATAGGATCCAAATATCTATATAATTAACATTTTTACACACCATTTTCTTTGATAATTATTACTATATTATTTATAGGTATAATTATGTGTATTTAACTATACTTGATTTCCAATTTTTATATTTTACAAAATATTTGACATAATAATAGTATGTTTTTAATATTACCTTCGTTTTATAATACCTTGTTTTTATTTTTTTCAGTGATATTTTTACATCCGATATTAATATTTATTTCATGTACTTATAATGCGTGCTATTTGTAAAAACTATGTATGATAAATTTTATTAATGCGACTAACACCGGGTCACCGGCCCTGACTACCGGCCATTAACACCAGCTGTAACGATATATTTTATAACTAACAAATTTAAAACGATTTCTTGAAACGCGTATAGCATAACAAATAAAATATGTGTTTACGATATTGGCGATGAATGCGATAAGCACTGTACTTACGCAGCCAGTCTGCGAGTATCATCACTACACCGCAATATATCGTTCAATATCTTTAACACGTAAAAATAAATATTATTGAATTTTAAATTTTCACTTTCGTTGCACAATGTTTGACATTGTTACTTAAATAGTATATAATATTTTATATTAATATTAGTATTAAACCTTCGGTTTTAAAAGATTAAAATACAACCCTAATTTTATATATCTTATTTGTATATAATATTATAACTAAAAACTTTAAACGGGTTTAATAGTCTCGGAGGGTATATATATATATCGTTACATTACAACAGCTATAAGCTTGTTGTGTGCATAAATACATACGGCTGTAGGCGCCGTAGTTGCTACGTTCCGCGTATATAGGTATGTACACACTTGAATTATTACGTATTTTTTTTCTCGCCTTAACAATCCGGTTGACCTTTAAATTCCAAATTTCCGATTAACCAGATTGTCAACTTTTCACTACTCACCCGGCGTTCCCGTTCGTAGATT